GATTGCGCTTAAGCAACAGGAGGTATTAAAAGTAACTATACTGTTAGAAAACATACTTTTTGAGTTATTATTTTGCTATAAGCTGTCATCTCCGGTTTATAGAAATAAAGAGAAAAGGACATCACCTTTTATATTTACCCGTATTCTTTTTTTAATATATATATTTTTTAGATGTTGATAGACTTTTATTTTAATTATTTATATGCGGTGCTGAGAATCGAACCCATTGCCCTACACATGCCAGGTGAGTGCGCTACCTCTGAGCCATAGCCCCACCTCTGAGCCATAGCCCCAGCCCCATACCCATATTCTTAATACTTTCCAATTCTTCTAATTTTTTTTCCCCATGATTTTGAGTTTCCATCAGTTGTCATTTCTTTTCATGCTGAAGAATTTTCCTKTAGCATTTCTGTTGTGCACAGACTGATAGAAACAAGTTTTTTCAGGTTTTGTTCATCTCAACACTTCTTGCYTTGACTTTTTAAAAAAATTTATTTATTTTAGTCGTTGGTGGACATTTATTTTATATAGTGTCCTGAGAATCGAACCYAGTACCTCACACATGCTAGGCAAGTGCTCTTCCACTGAGCCACAACTTCAGCCCCACTTTGACTTATTTTAAGGATACTCTTGTCAGTTATGAACTTTTAGGTTGATAGTTTTTTTTTTCTTTCAGTTTCTTGTGGGTGTTCCATTGTCTCCTAACTTCCATTGTTTCTGATGATAAATAGTTGGTGTTTATGCCTCTACATGTAATGCATTGTTCTCTCCTGGCTCTTGCTAAAGATAAAGCAGACATGATTTAAAGAGAGTAAGATGGATTTTATTTAGTAACCACTACAGTGGGGGAAGAGTTGAGTCCAGTGCTGATTTACATAGAGTTGACTAGGCATTGTAGGGAAAAGGAGGGAGTGGGGAAGGGGCAGTGAGCTGTTGTTAACTCAGGCACAGTTAGGGAAGTGAAAATTATAAAAGGCAATAAGAGGGCTATTTAATGAGAATATGATTAGACTTATATGTTACTAAGATTATTCATTTTGCTAATCAGACATTGTTTTCTGATTAGGTAATTTTAAACTAACATTTATTGAATTTAAATTCATAGAGGACTTCCTGATCATCACGTATCAGAAAAATGGCTTTCAGGTCCATGAGGAATAATTCTAGTAATTTGTTGGAAATAAAATCTCTCTCAAAGAGATGAGAAGGATTTACAGTATAAATATTCTTAAGGAGGGGAAACTGTTTGCCTGTCATCAAGTGTTAGGTGGAATAAGTGATAAGTTTTCTTGACAGCCTTGATCCTTTACTGACAGGAACTCTAAGTGGGATTGGATTGCTCCAAGGACGTCTTAGGCTGCTAGAAACCATGCTAAAAATTGGTCAGATCTCTTAGTTGGAGGGWTTGAATAGAGTTATTTTTGCCAAGAGTTTTTGCATCTCACTGCTTCAACAGTTTTGTATTTAGGAGTTTGATAAATGATGTACCTGACTATATAATTCTTCTTTTTAAACTCCTTGGTGTTCATTGAGCTTCTTGGGTGTATAAATTTAGTGTTTTTACTAACAGTGACAATTTTTTTCTGGCTATTTTTTTCAAATATTTTTTTCTGACTTATTCTTTTTCTGAAGCTGTATTACTGAAATTCCATTTTGCTTATCAGTCTTATTTTAGTTCTTTTTAGGTAATTTCTAATAATCTAACTTAAGATTTACTTAATTGTCTCCTAATCATGAGGTTGATTTTTTAATTTCCCATTTTATAATACCCAGTTTTAATATTTCTATTTGATTTATTTTTCTATTTTTATTATGCAAAGATTCACAATCTGATTTACATAGAGGTGACTAGGCATTAAAGGGAGAACAAGGGAGTTAGGGAGTCCCTGCACATATTTATTATAATTTCTGAAAAATTCTTGTTCATCTTGGGATCTGCTTCTGTCGACTTTTAAATTTTGATTAGGGGTAACATTCTTCTATTTCTTCATGTTTAGTTATTCTTGGTTGTTGTTGTTAGTTTTTCATTGTTGTGATCAGAATACCTACTAAGAACCACGAGCAGAGAAAAGATTTATTTTAGCTCAAGATTTTAGTTTGTGGTCAGCCTCCAGCATTGTGGGCCAGAAGTGAGGTGTAACATCAAGGCAGAAGGGCACAGTAGAGGCAGATAGGGAGAGAAGGATTGGGGTAAGGTGAGAAACTCTCCCAGGGCATGCCCCAGTGACCTCCTCCTTCCAAGTATCCCCCCCGCCCCCAAGTAGTCCATTCAGCCATTAATGGATTAATTCATTGATGAGGTCAGAGTTCTCGTGATCCAATTACTTTTCCACCTCTGAACTTATGAGACTGGGGGATATTCTAGATCCAAACTCTGACAATCAATACTGGATATTTGAGTGAAACATTGTTGACTCTGAATTCTGTTCTCTTTTGTTCTCACAAGTTGTTTGAGATGATCTCAAAATCTAAATGGTTTTCCTCTGATGTAGGCCACAGCTAAAATTTCCATTCTTTCAGCCTTCCAAGTGCTGGCTTCAGCACAGCCCCATAAACTATCTGTATGTATAGTGTAGGGCAATTCACAGTTTGATGTTTTTCTCCCTGTGCGTTCTTAACAGAAAAACTCCAGGTTTTTCTGATGTTCTAGCTGCCCTGTCTTAACTCCAGCTGGAAAGTTCCCTTGGGTACAAAGCCACAGGAGCACAGTTCTCATTTATCACAGTTTTTGTATCCCATAAGTTGATGTCTTATCTCTTCAGATTTTGTCTGTTTCTTGTCTTTTTCCAAAAAAGAGAAATAGTGTTCAAATAGTTGATTATTTGGTTTGGAGTTTATTATTGTTATCTGAAGAAAAGTTAGCCTAATTGAGGCTACTCTACCATTATTGGAAGGAAAACCTCTATTGTTTTATTTGTGTATACTTTTGCTGATTGATACTTCTTTCATTATTGAGAATTTTTAGAATCTGGGAGGGCCATTCTCTCTTTTTTCTGAGAGTGTTCCTGGTTAGTTTTGTTTGTTTTGATGTGTTATATTTGGAATGATATTGTCTGGATCTTGAATTGTTATTTTAATTGAGTTTGCATCAAATATATAAATTTGTTAGACTTGATAACCCTATACTACTATCTTATCTAGGGATGTGTGTATTTTTGTCTTTTCTCAGTGTACTTTTGTGTTTAAAATGTTCCTTTACATAATTTTGACAGTTTCATAATTTATTTTATATGCTTTATAAATATTTTGTTATAAGTTGGATTCTTTTTGAAAATACTTTACCTGATACAAATAAACAGATTTTTACCAACTAGCTAAATGCAAATTTAATATTCTTAGAAATGTCTTCCAATTTTATGAAGGAAGTAATGTGATACATGTTAAAACATTTAAATATACCCTCTGATGGCAGACTGAACGTGGCTGAGTTAGACCTGGGGTCTGAGTCTGTCAGCTTTTAGATTGAGTGCATGTTCTTAACGACTATTATTTTTTGATTTTTTTCAAGGCTTAAATAAARCACAACTTAAGTTCTTCGTGCTCTCTTTTAAGATTCGTGTTCTCATGTCAATTCCGGAGTAACTTGAGTGAAGTATTCTTTTTAGCTCCATAATAACAGAATAGCCTCTGATCTACACTGTTAATCGTTTTCCTTGAATTATTTTCAGCTGTATACTACTATTTCTTCCTTAAACTCAAATGATTAGAATTTAGGTAATTTGGTTGTGACTTAAACTACACTGGGCTGTATATTTTTAGTATATATTTGATAAATAGCTTTTAAATAAAGAAACCATTTATGTCATGGTTTTAAAATTAGTAAAAAAYCTTTAGGTGGAAAGGAAATGTCTTTTATAAGTCTGGTAAATTTTGTATCCTTAAAAAAAAGAGAGAGAATCAAAAATGTCTCAAGGCAGTGCAGAAAAATTTCTGAACATCCCTTAATAAACTGTTGAGTAGTATAGGGGCTACAKTATAGGAAGGGAGGGCATGGCAGCTCGTGTGTGTTGGCACAGAATATCAGCACATCTCACCTTTGATGTACTTTGAAATGTTGATCCAGTTAGCTTACTAGCAGTGTATAAATTTGGGATTTAATCAGTTGTTTGATTTATTTTTAAGTGCTCTGAAATATACCTTCTGCTTCCTTGAAATTTTGAAGACTTTGTAGTATTTGAGAAATGGAACTAAATTTTAGAAATTTACCTTGTGACTAATTTAAAAAGTACAAATTAGAACCTGAGAGASACAGCAGTCAAATGTTTCTTGGCAAAACTTCCTTTTAAACTTCCCTTCTCCCACAGCTCAGTGGTGGCAGGGAAAATATTAAGAATTATCTCTGGGCTGCTTGTGTTATTTCTTTCTTTAGAAAGAAATGTCGAAAAAAATTTTAAAGTTGTATGCTGTGTTAGAATGACTTCAAAATCTACCTTATTCTTTTTAAATAGTGATAGAGCAGTAATAATTTTCAGTTATACTGTTTATAATTATTGCAATCAAATAACCTGAAAAATCTTAACTGTGGCTAGTATCTTTTAATTGGAATTATTTTCTATTTTAAAAATACCAGTGTTTTGCCAATATCAGTAAATTAAAAAATAATTAACATGTATTTTTTGGTAAACTTTTTTCCAAAAGGTCTGATAAAATGAAGCACTGTTAGTAAGGCCAATGCATAGGTATTAGRTCTTTTATTTTGAGTAAAGGAAATTGGAAAGGATGTGTTATAGGTGTGATGTCATTAAACTAGAGAGCATTGGTGTTCACATTTTAAAAACATAATCATAACTTATCTGGAGTCACATGTTCCATTTTATTGGCTTCCTTCATATAGAAAATATAGTAATGAACACTACTACATGTCTGTGAAAAAGTGAAGCAATGTATATTTTCTGGGTGAAGGAAGTATTCTGTACATTCTCCATGTTTTACATCATGGTATTTTGAATAACCATGCTTCCATGTTCACATCAATTTTTTGTTTTTCAATTTATGCACAGCACTTGCTCTGAAATTTGGGGACTGAGTACACCAAATACGATAGATCAGTGGGATACAACAGGCCTTTACAGCTTCTCTGAACAAACCAGGTGAATATTCTGCCCTCTATGGAATCTTAGACATCTTGTGGGAGGGGGTGTGTTTTGGAAGACCTGTTTGGGTTGCTTAGTATAATTTTGCTTAGGATGTTTCCTTCATGTAAAATAAGGCATAGCATTTAAAATATTATCTGCTTGCCAGTATTAAAAAGATATTAAATGTTTCAGCTAATGTTTTGATCGATGCAATTCTGGTTTTGAATCTTCTTTAAATTATTGTATCCCATAAAGAATAAGAATTTTGATAGCCATATACTCATTTTAGTTCAAGATTAAATTGATCTGTTGTTGGCCTAATTTTTAAGCATATACATGATCAGTTTTTGCTAAATTTCTTGTTACCATCTAAATCTCATCTTTATACTAATACATAGTTATTTAATGAACCCCTTACATCACAATTAACAGTAGGCTAACTTGTTTTTATGTTATCTTTTTAAAATCACCTCATTCTCTTTTTTTAAGTATATTGATATTTTCCATTTCATCTCATATTCATCACCATCTGCATTTATGTGTGAGCTATATAAATATACCTCAGTTATTAAAGCAGTCACAACTGAATAATGARTTATATTAGTCTGAGTAAGTTGCTGTCACATCATTGTTGGTATTATCATTCTTTTTTGTGACTATTCAGTTACATACAGAATTAATGCCCTTGAAGCATCATTAAATAGAGTTTGATTTATTAAAGGTAGATGTTGATGAAAAGATTTTCAAGTATAACTACATGATATTCTTTTAAAAGATCAGTATTCAGTATTCCCCAAATTGTTAGCCTTTCTTTGGCATTTGAGTCATTGGCGTGGCATATTGTTAGGAAACATCTGCTAGTGCTGCTGCTTACTTTGTCAGATCCATCACAGAGTACACTTTTCTTCCTGGTTCTCACTAAAACTAACTAAGTGGCTGTTGTTCCTTTCTTTATGCTCTTAGTGTATTAATTAGCCCATTTGCCTACACCTATGTTTTGTTTTTGTTAGTTTGTTTTTTAAATATTCCTCCTTCTTTTCCCCCTTGGTTCCCAACAGATCTCTTGATGGTCGCCTTCAAGTTTCTCATCGAAAAGGGTTACCACATGTTATCTATTGCCGGTTATGGCGCTGGCCTGATCTTCACAGTCATCATGAACTCAAGGCAATTGAAAACTGCGAATATGCGTTTAATTTAAAAAAGGATGAAGTATGTGTAAATCCTTACCACTATCAGAGAGTCGAGACACCAGGTAGGAAAATTACAGGGTTTTCCTGGCTTTGAATTAAGTGCCTAAACTTAAGTTTATTTAGGTATTCTTGTGACCCAGGGACATTTTAGGGTAAAAAGTCTAATAATTTATCCTAAATTCAGCATGTTATATATCAGTAGTTAAATTTTTTTTCCCCCAGTTTTTATAGAAAAACATGTTAGGTCTGCCAGTTTCTTGGACTGTTATACTCTTTTGACATCAAAGTACCTATTCAGGAAATCCCACAGATTTTGCCGTTAGAACTGACTTACCTCTGCATTCTGTGCTTCAAGCATTTTACTCTACTTTTGGAAGTACTTTAATGGCAATATTTTTATAAAAGTTACTGAATGAAGTTTGTAGTAAGACTTTATTTCATTGGCTATGTGCTTGAAACTTACTTTWAAAAAAAAAMMMMAMYTTTTTTTTTTTTTTTTAAGGAAATTTCTTAAATCTGACTTTATATATCCAAGCAGATCTTTCCTCACCTTTTTCAGTGGAGGTTTGTGAACTTTTTCTGCTGATTTATATTTTGCCCCAAAGTATGAAATAAATGTAAACTTAGAAATTTAAATAGTGGCCTAAATGATAAGTTAAAGCCACACTTAGATTTATCAATTTCTTAGTCACTAATACTAAGTAGGTAGATCCTAACTTTTAAAAATAAGACTGCCTCCTTATCCTTCCTTGTGAAACTTTTAAATAAAGCCATCCATCTCCATGCTTTTGCTTCTTGCCATTAACTTAGATTTCTTTAACTTTTGCAGTTTTGCCTCCGGTGTTAGTGCCACGACACACTGAAATTCTAACAGAATTACCGCCTCTGGATGATTATACCCACTCCATTCCAGAAAACACTAACTTCCCAGCGGGAATTGAGCCACAGAGTAATTATATTCCAGGTATTTTTACCTTCCGAATCTCTTTAAACTTAGATAAAAATTTTGTCATAAGCATTCAGGTATTAATAAATTGTGGTTTCACTTAAAAAATTGTCTAGGGTTTGGGATATTAAAGTTTGATTTGACAGTGATTGTTTTGCAGAATGTATAAGCTTAGTTTTGTTTGGAGAAAAGTTTTACTTTATATTTAATTTTCTTTTGAGGGGACTTTAATCAAAGCAAAGAAAAGATCTTAGTAAGTTTTTCTTAGTTGTTGAAGCTGAGAGAAATGCAGAATGTAAACAAAATAAGTGGTATAAGAAAAGAGTACTCCTGAACAAATATAACTAAAAAAATTTACCAAATAATCACTTTTTCTTAAATAATTTGATAATTTTTGATGTAAATGTAACTTCCAACCTCCTATTTGGGTTATTTTTCATGGACCTCAGTAGTGATGAAATGAAAAAATTTACATAGTTCTCAAATTCTATTCTAACTCTGGTTAAATTTCTTGTGTGATCTCTTAATATTTCACAGTACAGTACTTGCCCTTTTAGTTTTTACTGTTTTTTTGTTTGTTTATTTGTTTTTAAGGAGAAAACTACTACACTTATTTCTTTTCTYGTGTTTCCCTTTGTTTTTTCCCTAGCAGAAACTGAAGATATTAGAATGAGTATTAAACTACATACTGGAATTTTAGTCTCTTCAGTTTTTCCTTCTTTTAAAAACATTCCTCTATTCCATCCTTTATTTTCATTTTATACAATTKAAAATATATAATCAACTTAACCCAAGTATAGTAAAAATGTTTCTTTAATATATTTTATCATCGGAACAGTCCTTGTTCGTTGAAGACTTCTAAAAATTTAAAAAAACAAACTTTTGTTAAAAAATTTTTTWAAAAGGTAGTTTTACATATGGKAYGTAGTTTGTTTTAATGTACATTTCTTTACATTCCAAAAGAGGATTTAACACTGCTTTTTTTATTGCTGGCAAGTCTGCTTTCTGAGAAATTGGGAGGTAAGAGCAATGGGTGGGGCACAGTACGATAGAGTAGGATAGGAAGGGAATAGCAGAACTATAAAGCAGGACTTCTCCTAGGTAGAAAAATTCAGTCTTTCATAAATTTGGCATGTGCAAGTGATAGGAGGAAGGGAGGCATTTTAAGTCTTTGATTTGACAATTAAGTTGTAAGCATACAGTTTTATAAGATACGTACCGAGTAATTATTTCCAAGGATGTTAATCAAAACATAAAATGGCCTTCACATGTGAAGATGTTTGACCTTACCTATTTTTAATTTTTGTTCTTCTTTATTACTTTAATTCTTCAGGTGTTAATAGTATATAAAGTAGAAAATCAGAAGTGATTTATACCTATTCACTTTTCCAGACAGTGAGACTTTGTCTGGCTCGAAGTGAGAGCAAAGCTAAAGAATTATTGTTTATCTCATTTTTAAAGAAATTTTGACATTTTCTCTTAAATGCTTCTAGCTTTAATATCAGTTATTAGATAAATAATAAAGGAAAAAGGTAAAGAAATACAGGAAGATGAAGTATCTTTTTTTTTAATTTCTTTTTAACCATACGATTTATTTTTATTTTTTTGTCATGTATGACAGCAGAATGTATTTTGACATATAATATATACATGGAATGTACATTCATCAATCATATTGTCTATTCTATTCTGCTGCCCTTCCTATCCCTCCTACTCCTCCCCTCCTCTCCCATCCTTTCTCTCTATCCAATCTAATGTGACACACTTTTTTTTTTCTTTTTCTCATCACAACATCATATATGTATTCTGTATAACAATGAGGTTCTCCTTCCATCTTCCGTGCAACTCCGCTTCTCCCTCTTTTTCCCTCCCACCTCTCTTCCCTATTTAGTGGTAGTCTTCTTATCATGCTCTTCCTCCCTATCCCATTTTGAGTCACCCCCCTAAGATGAAGTATCTTAAGGTTCAGTTTTACTTCCTACTTAGATCTTTGAGACTCTGGTGGTTAAACTGGCAAAGATTTTATTAGTTTTAACCTTTAAATAGTGCATAATCTTAATGCAGTATTCTTATTTTCATGTTCTTTATTGAGTATATGAAGATATTTTATTCTTAAAATTTCAATATTTAAGATTTTAGGATGCTTATTCTTAAATGAAAAATTTACTATTTCTGTTAAACTTATATGGTTGCTTATTGAGCCACATTATTAAGGGTTAGTGAAGTGAAGACCCTTAACCATATCTTACTTCTCCTCCTTTGGATAATCACAAAATCCTTTTTAGGTATGTGTTTGCAGTTTCTCCGTTTGAGTCACTGTTCACCAACACAAAGGTTAAACTTTTGAAAATCTTATGAATTTRTTTTTCCTATTTAACATTATAAAGTAAAAGTCGTGTAAATGTTTTTATTTTCTTTGAAGCTTATTCAGCTATTCAGATACTSAATAAATGTTATGTTATGCTGAATAAATGTTATCCTGAACATAAACATTTTGTTCAGAAAACATGTTGGATACGACACAGTAGAATCCTAATATTTATTTTCAGGAAGCATTTTGCCTCTGTTTTATGCAGTGGCCTATAAGTATCCATTAATGATGTGTATTAGTGTAAAAACAAAAAATTGCAGGTACTAATGTCTTTGATCCCTACTGAGTTAGAATCGAGGCATCTGCTTCTTGCCCCAGATTATGTACATATGAAAGCGAGGCCAGACAATAATGTCAAAGCAAATAYACCAAGAGAGCTAGATTGTATTAAAACTAGGTTTTAAGGATTCACCTGCAAGATTTGGATCAAAACCTGACATAGGTCCTTAGTATCCAATGTTGGTTTTTGTAATAATGTTATATACATTTATTATTTGTTCTTTGGAGTGATTCTTTGGTTAAATTTGGTAGATGGTAGAAAGTGGTGAAATTAAATTGCAACTATACTCGATTTGTTCTAAATTTTGTAGAAACACCACCTCCTGGATATATCAGTGAAGATGGAGAAACAAGTGATCAACAATTGAACCAAAGTATGGACACAGGTAAAAAATGTTTTTYAAAATTGCAAAATTATCAGATACACAGTTAGTGCTCTGAATCCACAGGTTTCACATCCCTGAATTAAGCCAACCGTGGATTAAAAATATGGGTGGACAAGGGGTCAGTTATATCTGTACTGAATATATACAGACTTGACTTKACTTTGTCATTATTCCCTAAACAGTACAGTGTAAAAACTACCTATATAGCATTTACCATGTCATTGTRTATAAGGGACTTTAAAATCTGCACTTTTTTTGGTGTCTACAGGGGTTCCTAAAACCTGTTTCCTAAAGATACGGAGGGATAACTATGCATTTCTTGCATTGTCTGAAACTCAAAAGACGACAGACACATCCCTCTCAAATTTAGAGAAGTTGAGAAATATGTCAAAAAAACGGGAATCTTCTATATTGATTTAACTGTATCTGAAACATCAAAGATGTCCATGTTCTTACTAAAAATTTAACAAACTATTTGCACAAATTCTCTTGGTAGGATGAAACTTTGAGAATATTCTTTTTAAGAATTCTATGCTTTTGTTTTGATTAGTATAAAATTTTCAGAGGGATTTGGGGTGTAAGGGATAAGGATCAGCTTTTCAGGGCTCTTTTTTAACTTAATAGTTCTGAATTACAGTCCATTATTTACACAGAATACCTTCTAGCTGACCTAATTTGATAAATTTCTGGTATTTAGCTATCATGCCCAAACAAGGATAAACAAAAATTTTTAACATAATAAATATTATACACATCAAAGTTTTAAACCAGTTGTTACATAATTACTTATAATATCTAGTACATTRCCAGTGAAATTGCTATCATTTTTATGACTGTTAGGATAGTAGAAAGAAATAATCTCATTATCACTGGAAATAACACATTACACATCTTAATGTTATGATACTTGGCTTTCCAAATGTTGTAACATGTCTGGATGCCAGTGACTTCTATTTTTCAATCAGCAGTGTTCTTTTTTGCCCCTGATAAGAACACTTAACAAGTGTTGGTGAGGATATAGAAAAACTAGAATCCTCATAAACTGCTAGAAATAAAAAGTGGTTCAACCACTTGGGAATATTTTGCTATTCTAAAAGATAAAATCAGTTACTGTATAGCCCAGCAATTTCACTCCTAGGTCTATATCCAAGAAAATTTAAACAAACCTGTACATAAATATTCATATAAGCATTGTTTATAACATTCCAGAAGTATAAATAACCCACATATCCATCAGATGATGAATGGGTAAATAAATGAGGTGTGTCTCTCTACAATAGACTATTATTCAACTATAAGAATGCTAGTACAGCATGAAGTGCTACAGTGTGTATGTATGTACCCTGAAAGCATTGTGTTTATGAAAGAAGCCAGACAGAAAAAGGCCACAGGTACTCTATTGGTGCATAAATATGTTTGACAGTACAACTGAAACACAGAAGGAACAATTAGATGAATATAATAACTGCCTGTGGTGAATGAGTCAAAATTTTAAAATGAACCAGGCATGGTGCATGCCTATCATCCCAGCTGCTTGAGAGGCTGAGGCAGGAGTATCCTAGGTTCAAAGCTAGCCTCACCAATGGGGCTCAGTTTTCAAATAAAATATTTTAAAAAGGGCTGGGGATGTGGCTTGGTGGTTAAGCACCCCAGGGTTCARTCTCTGGTACCCAAAAAACAAATAAATAAATTAAAATGGAGAGTAACTCACTCATCTCAAGTGAATTCAACGTTGGAGCTAGCTCTGAACCTCACTTAATAGTTCTAATCTGTTTCATTRGGGCACTGTTATTGACTTAAGGAATGACACATTTAAAATTACTTCCTATAATAATGACAATGTGAATATCTCATTCATGAGATTCACAAAGATCATTTCACTTAAGTCTTTTGGCCACCATCAGTTTCCGTTAGTGCCACAGCATGGTTCCAGCAGGGTGTAGTGCATGCCTGAAGTCCCAGCTACTAGAGAGACTGAGCACTGGAGTTGAAGGCCAGCCTGGCAACATAATGAGATCCCACTGGGGAAAAAGAAAGAAAGAAAAAAAGAAATAGACAAGTCTCAATTTATTTATTTTATTTTTTAATAGTTTGACTGTTTTTATTTTTATTATTTCATCTTTAAACATTTAAAAATTATTGTTTCCATTAGCTCATCTCAACTCTGCAGAATGGTGGTTTTCATTGTGACATATTCCCGCATATATAGAAATACAACTTGATCAGTTTTGCCTCCACTCTTCCCTCCTTTCTCCCCATGACCCCCTTCCTCTATAATACAGTCACCTTTCTACTTTTATGATGTGTCTTTTCTCCCTTTATCTTCCATATATGAGAGAAAACATGTCKTTTTCTTTTTTATTTATATRTGACAGTGGAATGCATTATAATTCTTATTACACATATAGAGCACAATTTTTCATATCTCTGGTTGTATACCAAGTATATTCACACCAATTCGTGTCTTCATACATGTACTTTGGATAATGATGACCGTCACATTCCACCATCATTTCTAACCATATGCCCTCTCCCTTCCTGAGTTCATCTACTCCTCCCATGCTCCCTCTCTCTATCCCACTATGAATTAGCTTTCTTATATCAGAGAAAACATTCAGCATTTGATTTTTTGGGATTGGCTAACTTCACTTAGCATTCTTCTCTAACTCCATCCATTTACCTGCAAATGACAAGTCTCAATTTAGATAAAATTTGACCTCACCTCAACTCTGGTTCATACCTTTCATAGAAGGACATAATTAAATTCATTTTCATAACCTTCTGGGATAGAATAAATTAATATTTTTAAAAGGGCAAACAGAAAACAAGAACAAGGAACTATAGGGCTGGGGATGTAGCTCAGTTGGTAGAGTGCTTGTCTCGCATGCACAAGGCCCTGAGTTCAATTCCCAGCACTAATAATAATCAGGAGCTATATGAATAACTTTTTTGCATGGGTCCCCCCCCAATCTTTAAAAAAATTTCTCTGGGGGTTAAGCCTTTATTCCTCCATTAGTGTCTGTGGATTTTAAAGATAACATCAGATATCACAAGAAATCTCATTTTGTTGTATTCTGAAATAAGTCTCTTTCCAAGTCAAAATGAATTTTTAAAACTTTATTTGTTCAGGGCTGGGGCTGTAGCTCAGTGGTAGAGTGCCCACCTCACACATGTGAGGCACTGGGTTCGATCCTCAGCACCACATTAAAAAAAWAAATAAATAAGGATATTGTGTCCTAAGGAATATTAGACCTAACTTATAGGGTTAATATTTGTAAAGCAGTTACAGTGTTACTAGTGCATGGTAAGCGCTATGGAAGTGTATTTAAAGAAAATATTAAAGGAGGAATTAATCTTTAAGAAAAAGGAAGCAAGTTGGTTGTTCAAAGATTTGAAGAAAAATAAGGAATTGAGATCCAGAGACACAAGCAGTTCATGTTCATGGCTCTATGAAATTGGAAAGTAAGACTATTAGTGAAGAATGAGGGGTCAAGTTTAAGAACTTGAGGATAATGGTCTTATTGGCTATGCCATTTTTCTGCCATGTTTTATAGATTTTAGTGGAGATTAATATCTTTCATTAGAATGTTCCTTGCTACACTTGAGGGCTATTATGAATATATTGTTTTTTAATTATTAAAAATCTCCAATTATTCCTAGGATAAAAAAAGATATTTGGGTTTTGTATCTTGATTTCTTTTCCCAAATCCTTGCTAAATTCACCTTTTGGTTCTAGAATTCTGTAGATTCCTGAGGTTTTCTACATGTACATCCATGTCATAAGGATAGTTTTCCTTCTTTTTTTCCAATATTTAAGATCTAAGATCTAGTAATATGTTGAATAGAAGTGGTAAGAATGGACATTTTTCATTGTTGCTGAAATACCTTCTATAATTCTTTATTAAGTAGGATGTTAATTATGGATATTTTATAGATTTTATTTTTAAATCTAATTGAGACGTTCCCTTCTGTTGTTAATGTTTTGTGTATGTTTTATTAATGGCTGTTAAATTTTCTCCATTGCTTTTTCTGTAGCCATTAACAGGATTAAACAGAATTACTCCTATTCGTTCTTTTACTTAATTACATTCATAGTGGTGGGGCCAAATCTCACATACTCTAGGCAAACACTCCACCACTGAGCTCCAGCCCAATCCCCAACTCCTTAATTCTTTATTAGGTGAATTTTACGAAGTGAGTTTTCTAATGACAAGCCAACCTTGACTTTATTAGGTTATGATGAATTAACCCTTTAAAATGTTTATGGATTTTTAAATATTTTTTATTATTATTATTATTATTATTATTAGTGGTAATTGGACACAATACCTTTATTTTATTTATTTATTTTTATGTGGTGCTGAGGATCAAACCCAGGGCCTGGCATGTGCTGGGGAAGTGCTCTACCGATGAGCCCCAGCCTTGTTTATGGATTTAATATTGCTAATTTTAAGGATTTGTTTCACTTGTTGTGAGAGATTGGTTTTTATTTTTCTTGTATTGCTTCTATTAGTTTTAATATAAAATACATTGGAAAGGGTGTTCTCTTGTTTTATGAAAGAGAATATATAAGGTTGGTTATTTAAATCAAGGATTATTTGAATGTTCAGCTTGTTGTGTTTAGTACTTTGTCTTTTGTAATAAATTTGTTAATTTCATCTCGGCTGCAAAATTGATTATTTATAATAAAGTTTTTCTAATGTTCACTATTCCATTAATGTTTGTGAGATTTGTAGTAATGTCCTATTTTAAATTGCAATATTGGTAATTCGCTTTTCTCTTAAAGTCTCACAAGGGATTTATCAATTGATTGTTTCAAAGAACCAGCTTTTGTTAATATTTTCTGTTGCCTATTTCATTATTTTTTTCTAGCTGCATTGCAGTTAATCTCCTCTCTTGCTTGTTGTGGCATACATTGAGAGTGTCGATTCTTTCCTAAAAAAGCTTTTAAAGCTGTGTTTCCTTCTAAGCCTTATTTTAGCTTAATACTACAAATCTTC